CAGCAATTTCCTAATGTTGTAAACCTGCTCAACATTTGGCAATAAAACCCTTTCTGATTCTGATTCTGATTCTGACACATACCGCTTAGAATTAAGGTCAAAAAGTTCTATCTTGGTCTCATCAGACCAGAGAATCTTATTTCTCACCATCTTGGAGTCCTTCAGGTGTTTTGTTTTTTTTTAGCAAACTCCATGTGGGCTTTCATGTGTCTTGCACTGAGGAGAGGCTTCTGTCGGGCCACTGTCGGATCTTTGGGAGGGCAGCAGTGATGGTTGTGATGTAACACTGGATGTAAAACATTGATAAATCATCTTATGTATGCAGATGACGTGGTTGTTTTTAGTCCAAGCAGTGCTGGGTTACAGGAGCTTCTTAATATCTGTACTGAGTATGGTGTGCAATATGATATAAAGTACAATGCTGTTAAAAGTGGTGTTTTGATATGTAGAACCAAGCAGGACAAACAGCTAAATTTGCCTGTTTAAACTGTCCCAAAAACTTTTTAAGTTCATAAAAAGGTGAAATACCTCAGTCGCTTTATTACTGATCAAATAAATGATGACGATGACATATACAGACGACAGTGTAAGCTCTATGTGGAGGCAAATACTATTGCACCTAAATTCAGCTCTCGTGCACTTCTAGTTAAAGTGGTTTTGTTTAAAGCAGCGGTTCTCAAACTGGTGGTACTTTTAAAGATTAAATAATATACCATTGTGGGGGTATGCAAAGACGACACAAAAGTTCCCAAGGCTCTTCTGGGAGCCGGAGTCGACCAGAAAACGTCTCCCCGAGCGTGAGTCCTCTATGAAGAGCAGCCTTTCCTGATCGCGGCCGCTAGAGGGCGCTGGCGGGCTCATTTCCCTGGGCAAAGGCACTGTCACGCAGATGATAAAAACACAGCCCTTTCCACTGTGCTGCTGTGCTGCGCAATGAGAATCCTTTGTACGATACCTAGAGCGGGTAGTGCCAGTCAGATATTTGTAGCTGTGGGTGTTTGGACTTTTTAGAGCACGTTTAAGAAAGTTAATGTTCAATTTTAGAGAACGACTGGATGGCTCTAGTAACAGTATAATTTTAGAACCCAAAGATCCGACAGCGAGTGGTTCCCGTTAATCATCCAGTCGGAGAGCATTAAGCATTAGTTGAAGTGTTTGTGTATTTATTGATTTCTTCTAAGTAATTGTGTATTTTATGTATATTTTGGTTTTATATTTTTACAAATGTTTAATATTTTTTAATATTTTTATTAAGGTTTATAAATTGTGTTTTGTCTTGTTTTTTATGGACATAAAGTCTGGCAATAAAGATTGAATTGAATTGCAAGATCTGTTTCATTTTTACCCCTCAACTGGAAAAAGGCTGATGGGGTGTTAGCATTACCCCACCATGCAGAACGGTGGTGATGACACCCAACTTTGTGAACACGATGACTCAAGAAAAAGGAGATGTAGGGTTTTCAAATGGATCTACTGAAAGTCTCTGACAATTTTGAAAATCTATTACTTCAACCTCAACCTGAAGATGAAGGTCGAGGTTATAGATTTAGACTATATAGACTTTGTCGAGTTATTGTGTTCACAATGTTATTGTTGGTTTTGACAATCTGGGGAATGTTTTTAAAACATCCTCCCAACCATTTTTTTAATCTAAAGTGAACTTTCCCCTAACATCAGGAAAACCTTCTACACACAACGTTTAGAAAACGTTAGCTGAAGTGGGGTAGTGAACAATCCCCGAACGCTCCCTTGTTTGCTGGGATCTCACCTAGAATTAATACTGTAGGTGTATCTATTGAAAATCTCACATGAGATGTCAGTAACTTTGACCTCACGGTCAATCTTGTGAATGTGATGTTTGAGAAAGATTATTTTTTAACCTGCTTTTTGTATCACTCAGCAGCTTTCACAATATGAAAGGGAGAGCTGTGAGTGGAGTCACTCTGAAGTGAAGAGCAGTCGGATGGAGAAGTCTTCCATAAAGGGGGGAATGATGACAGAAAGAAAACTGGCCTGTTAAATTTAAAGCCAGCTTTGCTTCTGTTCATAAAAACACTTTGGCTTGATGTTTTGTGTAAATGAAGCTACTGTTTAGTGCAGTCTGGCTCTGCTTCAACTTTCTGTTCATGCAAATGATGCTGCGAATAGTTCCTGCCTCAGTAAAAGGAAAAACAAATTTCCAACAAAAATTTTCTTTGCCGCCTTGTTAGAAAGAAAGATTGCATATTCCTGATAACCCGACACATGGGACTGCAGTTTAGATTCAGATAAAGGTACTTTGAACTGCTCTGTTTCACATCTGTTTGCCACAGCAGATAGCTCCACACAATCTTTAGCAGATTTAACTTATACTTCCCGACGCAACCCAAAAGGGATTTGTGTCTCGTCTTGAAGAACACATCTTTATTATAAAGTTAATGTGGCCACTTGTCCTAAACCAGTCTGTCGTTAAGCTGGTATGCTTTAAGTGAATGTGGGAGGAAGGGCGGGAGTGGGACTCCTCCGTGCAGTTCTGAGCTTTAGACACTTCATAAACAATGTTTAGTGAATTTTGCATTAATTTCTATAATTTCTGCATCCAATGCAATGCCTTTATCTATGGAAAGATAAGATGCTCTATAACATGTAAGGCCAGAATATCTTGCTACATCTATCAACAGTGACATCATCTCCACACATTTTGGTTTCCATCATCGTGTTACAAATTATTCTTAGTTTCATTGGTGCAAGATCTGAGGAATTTTTGGGGGGCTCTTTTAGATATTTCCTGGCAAAGTTTAATCTAGCCTTCCTGTTTTTTCGTTTATATCTTCTTGTAAACTTTCTGTATGAAGACAATTATACCTACTTCCCCGAGAGATTGAATGAGTGAACAGGCCTCTCTGGGCCATGATTTTACCCATAAATTGTCCGATTACTTTTGATCCTCTGAAAATGACTGAATTCAAAAGTGACTGATTTATGAAATTTGATCTTCAAAAACCAGTATTGTGATCAGCAGTGGCACAGGTTTCTTGTCATGATGAAACAAATGGGGGGGAAAAGAAGGAGCTCCAATATTAGGACTTTTATTTACTTGTTCAAAAAGACAAAGAAAAGGTTTGGTCACTAAACAAACAATGCCTGTGTTTAGAGGCATTGTTTAGGGGAATTTAGCATCCAGAACAAACTTCAGCTGATTACTGAAACGTATCTTCAAACACTGTAGATGCGTGATATTGGTGCAGAAGGTTTTCAACATGAGCCCAGATCTTACCGAAACATGTTTGAGTTTTACTGAGGAATTCATCACTGGTGTGAAAACAAAATATGTTCTGGAAATACTACAAATCACATTATTTTATGCTACGGTGGATACATCACAAGTAATTTGAGGTTAAGGCTCTTGCCCAAGGATACTTTGACAGATTCACAGAAGTCAAGGACTGAACCTCCCACCTTCTAACTGGCAGATGACCTGCTCTATCAGCTGAGCCACAACTGCTCTATAAGACGGTCAGGATGCACACAGTGAAGCGTCTGATGGAAAAATGTTAAAACATTTAACTTAATCTCTCTAATGCCTTTTAAATGTTTCCTTTAACTGATTCATCAGTCATATCTTTTGTTTTAGGTCATTCTTTGGTTCAATCAAATCATGAAATTAAAAATTATATAACTTCGGTAATTCAGTGACATGATTTTGTGACATATTTTTCTAAAATCAAGCAGATTAGCTTCACTCTTGTGCAGTATCATTAAAAACAATGACTGAAATGAATAAAACTTCTTGAAATTTTAAGAAAAAAACACTGCAGTTGGAAATACATGTAGATAAACACAAGATAAAACACTCTCATTTAAAATCATTTCTATGACTTTAAGCCTGAAATTTGAATTTTTAGCAGTTTTAAACAAACCTGGTTAATGTTGTTTCCATAAAGGAGTCTCTGTGACACACCCATAACATTTCTCAGAAACAGGAACATGGAGCAGGAGTGGGATTTCCCTGCATTTTTATTATTATAAAGGCTGAGTTTTCCTTCACAGTTCACAGAGCAGCATCATGACTCTAAAGATCCTGCTGGGTGTCTTCTGTCTCTCAGGTCAGTCATTTTTGGCAGTGCTTATCACTCTGATATGTTACATCCAGGTTGCATGTTCAGAGATGTTGATCAATCATTTTTCCTCACAGGGTGTCTCATCTTCTCCAGATGCCGTCAGTACTACTTTGTTAATAAGTCCTTAGATTGGTTTGCGGCTCTGAGTTACTGTAGAGTGAACTACACAGACCTGGCCAACTTCGAAAACGCTACAGAAATGAAACAATTTAACAAAACAGTTTCATCTGCTGGTTACAACTCTGAGGTCTGGATTGGTGCTTACCTAAGTTTGTATTGGAGACATGTATCTCAGATCAATGATGATTTCTGGAAATGGGAAAACCAAACTAAAAATGAACCCTTCTCAGCTTACTATTTTTGTACAAAAGCTTTAGTGAATTCACCATACTGGTACTGGTCTTGGTATATCAACTGCTCACTGGAATACCCATTCATCTGTTACAATGGTAAGAAAATACCAAAGCATTTTTTTTTCTCATTAAGATTGTTTTGATTTGATTATTTTCATTCACAGAAAAATCAACATGACTTATTTAACCACAATTTCTAATTGCAGGAACTTACCAGAGTCCTGAATTTGTTTTTGTGAATAAAAGCATGGACTGGTTCAGAGCTCTCCGGTACTGCAGGGAGAACTTCACAGATCTGGCTGACAATTCGCTTTCTGTCAGTGATACGCAGAGGCTGGTGTCATATGGGACTGAAATATGGATCGGCCACATTGTACATCCTCAAATTTTCTGGGTCGATGGCAGAGACTCCTCATTCAGATACTGGGATGAATCAGTAAAAATATTTGGCATTTCAAATGACATGCGTGGTGTCGCAGATATGCAGAGATCAGGAAAATGGAGGTTACTGCCCTATTATACACAACGACCATTTGTCTGCTATGACAACCTGCCAGCTCCTCAACCTGAAACCACAGAAGCTCCCAAAAAAGAAATTGTTTACAGAAAAGGTATAAAGTTACAGTTTTGATATCACAAAAATATAATAACTGAAAACTCACCATGACACCTTTTGTCCTCTCTGTCTCAGTAATAAAAATCAGGATGAAGCTGGACGACTCCTCTGTGAATCTGAATGACACCGCTGCCAAAGCAACACTCCTGAAAGAGGCAAGTCTCCACAATACTGCCTTAAAACTTCACCTCATCACCTTTGCACTTTAGTGTAGGTGCTGTGAGTTTCACCCAGCTCTTTAATTTTATGTGATTGCCTGTCCTCATCTCTTCTTCACAGCATCTATGAGCGAGCTGCTGCGTGAAAATTAAGGCTGTAAATTTGAATTTTTGAATGTTGAGAAATGTTCATAAAATTATGGCATCTAAAAATGAAAAAAAAAACAACACTATTATAAATGACAAAAATAATTTCCATACTTTTCTCTGAAACGTTTAATATGATTTTACTGTATATGATTTTAATATGTAAAATATGTATTTTACAAATATGATTTTACTGTATACATTAACCGGCCAATTCAAATGCAAAGGTATGAATTAATGTCAGAAAATAAATTTATTGATGTTTTGTTTTTCTAAAACAGGCTTTTGTTTGTTTTTAGTCTCTGTTTAAACATGTGTGTAATGTTTGGATCTCTCAGCTCCAGGACAGACTGAAGGAGAAAGGAGTGAGTGGAATCACTGTGAAGTGGAGAGAGCAGCCTGATGGAGCCGTCTTCCATAAAGACAGGAACGTACTCACAAAGAAGAAAACTGAGCTGTGAATTTTGAAACCAACATTGCTGCGACTTCTCTGAAACTCAGATGTTTAGTGTACATGAAGCTGCTGTACATATTGTGGTTTTGCTCTGTATTTGTTTATGCAAATTATACCGTTGACATTTGTCACCTTGGTGAAATGAAAATAATCAGATATAATTAGTTTTTATTATTGTTTCATCAGAGTGTTTTGTTTTGGACTAAAAGATCCTTTCATGGTTTTAATACTCCTGATGACGTCCTGTGTGGGACTATGGTTAAAACTGTAGATTTTTGTTCTGTCTGCTTGAGATAATTCTGCTTTTGTATGAGATTTATTGTTTTTGACAAAAAGTGGTTTTTTTTTTTTTTAATCCATGAGACATAATGACAGTTAATGAACTGGATCAAGTGGCGGTGGAGGTGCGCAGAGAGAGGCTGAGGACAATACAGAAAACAACAGTGAAAATAATTTAAAATAAAATGAAATCACATTGTTCGGTGAACTCAGCCAGAAACATTTGTTATTGTCCTTTTTACCTGCATTTAGGTGTAACACCTTCTATGATTCAAAAAGCTGACTTGTATTGTTTGTTACTGTTTCCATGGAGCACTGCCTTTAAGTGCATGAACATCCCAAAACCAGGCAACTCAAAACTGCTTCCTAGAGAAATATAAAAAGAATCATTTTCCTGCTCTTCTAAAAAAAAAAATGTAAAACTAAATGTGTTACTTTACTCATCTGAACTGTGAATATGTGATAGATATTGTTCATTGGATACTAAATATAATTTGTTAAGATTGTCACATTTTTACCTGTTTTTGTAAATAAAGCTGTAAGTTAAATTAAGAAGGTAAAAGTTGGACTAAATGAAATTAAAGTTATATTTCGAGGATATTGTCACAATAGTGAGCAAATCATTTAAGCATCACAGGATGTTCACCTCCTTTTAATGATGTCTGTAAGTATATGACAATAAGCCAACAAGTGAGAATCAGTGTTGTAGACTTTATTTAAAAACTGAAAGGCCCACTGAGCAGTACACTTCGCAACAATGATAATAAATACTTATCTTAAAAGGTCAATATTTATCTATTAACCCAGAAATAAAGTGAATAACCTCAGAGTGATCATTAATCATCAAACTGTTGTGATGCAGTAATGTGAGTTTGTTTTTTGAGTATTTAATCAATCCCCTTCTTAAATCCCTTCTCAAAGTCTGCAATTACTTACTTTTCTCATTCCAACACTGAATATAAGTGATGAAAATAATTTATTGTCTAATAAGGAATGTGAATAATTTCACATGAACTTTCACTGTGTTGTGGTTTTGTGGTTCAAGTTCTTCTGTCTGATCCTTTGAGCTTCTGCTGACTTTGGTTCTTCTTGGTAAACCTGCAGGGGCACAGTTTAAATCTCACACTCTGTGTTTTTAAGCATCTCTGTCCATCATGGTTGGAGGTCAGGGGTCAGGGGTTCCACCGGAGGTCACAAACCAAAGCGATGTGGTCAGAGGGGTGAGCCACGCTGGGCAGAGCCTCGTAGGTGGTGACCTCCTCGAGGCTGGGCAGAGGGATCACCTGCTCCACCTGCACACACACCATATATGTGTTACATCAGTTATTCACACAAAGAACACCTGACTCCATTTTTACCTTATCGTCATTTTTTTTTTAAATAACCAATCTCCATTGAGTTTGTTTTCTGTTCCTCATCTTTGACTTAGTGAAAATCTGAGAAATCTGTCATTCTTCACCCGTTTTACAAACTCTTTTCTGATTTACTTCAAACTTAGCAAGTGGCTCACTCAAGATCTCAATAATTAAAAAGACTGATTTCATTTGGTTGAGTGGTACTCATAGTTTGGCTAAAAGATGTTCTAAGTAAAGTAAGTAAGTAAAGCTGATTTATTAAGGGCTTTTTGTAGACAGTCACAAACCTGTGCACAAAAGAGAGTAAAATAAATATGAAAATTAAATAACATAACAGCCAACAAAAAGACAAAATAAGACAATGAAATAAAAAATAGTTTAAAATAAATAAATAGTAATTCACTAACATTCCCATAAGAGAGCTTGTTAAAACAAAAATGTGTCTCTCCTATATCCTCTGCCATCAGTACCTGCATGCAGTCTGGCTGTATAAAGATGTAATCCAGGCAGCCTTGAAACCCTCTCACATAGTTGGTGTAGGCCGGCAATCCGCAGGCGCTCAGCAGAGGGGGGATGTCAGAGAGCAGCTCCATGCTGCAGGACTCCTCCGGCCCCGAGCTGCTCCAGTCTGCATGCTGCGGAGGAACCACAGCCTCACTGAGCAGCTGAAACACACCTGAGAGGGGACGAGATCAAGAAACAAACCAACCTGATAAAGACTGTGTTAAAAAAAACTCCAAACATGGTGAAGATGAACTTTGACCTGAGGGTCATTATGTTTTTGTAAACAGTCTCAGATTCAGCTGTAGGTACTATTCTGGAGTTACCTGCATTTGGGGTGGAGTTAAAGTCTCCACAAAACACCAGCGGGGCTCCAGGTGCGACCTCGCTGATCACATGACTCAGGTGTTTCAAAGCCACGCCCATCTGGACTAAGCGAACATTCCCCCCTTCAAAGGAAATGAATTCAATTCTCAGAAGTCTGTACTGACAATCTCTGCTGGTTAAAATGAGCAACTCAGGTGTTCCTGGAAGTAAACAGGACATTTTACCTTTCGGGTGCCAGTACAGGTGAGTGTTGGCCACACAGACCTTCCTGCCGGGTTTATTCAGGTCCTCGAGGAAAGTGACCTGCAGGGAAACAAACAATTCAGTGATTAGACAAACATTTCTTTTCATGACTGAATAAATTGCTGATTTTTAACTGTAGTGGGCATTTCTTTCACATATTTAAGAATCAAATTCCAGGACAAATCTCAAACAGCCAACAATCAAACTTTAGCAAAACATCCACGGACAGCAAATTCTGATTCATCTGCAGCAGCTGCACTCTCTCTTTCCTTTCTCTCCGTTTGCTGTGTGAGCAAACAGCGACTTCAAGAGTGACTAAGAGCAGAGATGATCTCCTGTTGTCTGTAACTCTCCCTGATTTATCATTTTACATGTAAATATAGCCGATTTGAGTACACCTTCACACACATACACAAGACAGGTAAGGTGAAATGTTGATGACAATATGTGATGTTACCCTAAGTGTAATTAAAGTTTTCCAAGAAGTATTACACCGAACATAACGAGCCGGTGTTTGTGCTAAAATGTTTTTTAAAGTCTGCAAACATAGTATTGTGCAGAAGTCCTGAACCTCCTTAATTTTTTATATTTTGATAGGAAAATGACAAATTGGTGCAGTGATGTATTGATACATGGAAATACAGTTCATTTAAAAAAAAAAGTTTGTACAGTTTTAACAATCTTGAAAGTCAGCGTTTGGTATGGCCACCTGTATTCTTCAAAGCAGCCTGAACAAGTATTCCTGTAATTTCTTTTGGAATAGCTCTCCAGACTTCTTGAAGGACATTCAAAGGGCTTCTTTGGATGTTGGCTGTCTTTTCTAGTGTTCTCTGTCAAGATGATCCCACACTGCTTCAATAATGTTGAGGTCTAGGATCTGAGGATGCCAATCCATGAGCGACAATGTATTGAACGCTGGATCAAATCCGATAGTACTTTTCTGTGCGCATGTTTCCATGAATTTTTACAAAATCCCCAACACTGAAATGTCTCCATCATATTTTACAAATGGCTGTAGATACTGTGTTGTACCTCTCTGCTGAACACCTCCATACATTTTTTCCATTTCTTAAATACGTGACTTTCAGTTACTGTAGACAGATTTTTAGACCTATCACTTCTTCTTTACTCCACTTGTCCAGTTTCCTCAGATTTTATGAACCACACACTGCACACCACAGCTAATGGACACTTTCAGAATCACCTTGTTCATGCAAAAATAGTATTTTTTTGTCTGTCAAACAGTGTTATTGTCACAAATTTCACTGACTAAAGAACTGTGAAGAAATTAATTTTTTGTGACAGTGGGTGTGTCTGCTGGTAACAAAAATGAGCTATTTTAATGTATTTCTTTGACGCATTTTTCATGCTTGAAATGTCTTAAAACTACTTAAAAATTACAAGAAAGTCAAAATGTTGTGAGTGCAGTAGGTCTGAAAGACCTCCAGACTGCTGACCCGATATTTGGATGGGAGCAATAACAAAATGTCGCATCACTCCTTCCCAAAGCTAAAATATAACAGTTAATCAGCCTTGATGGTGAGCAGCAGTACCTGCAGCGAGGTGGACCTCTGCAGGATCTTATTCTTCAGGGCACCGTTAGCAGAAACCTTCTCCAGAAGCTCAGCGTGCATGGGGTCAGAGGACAACGCCTCACTCAGCATGATGTCGTGACTGCTCAAGAGTCGAAACTTTGACCTACAGCACAACAGGATTCACTTCAATATCATAATCATCATCCATCCACTTTTTCCGCTTATCCAATTCAGGGTCACATGGGGCTGAAGCCTATTCCAGATGTCATAGGAGTAGAGGCGGGGTAAAGTCTGGACTGTTAACCAGTTGCAGGGCTCATAATCATGTGATATTGCCATTAGGGCTGCACATAAATAAAGAGGCCTTTCTGTTATACTTCAGATATTCAATACTTTCTTCACAATCACTTATTTGTAGGTGCTCGCTACTCTATCAACACTGACTGTCACGTAAGACACACAATATACTAAAGTGCATTAAACAAAATTTATTTCATGTACTAAAACCTTTTTATTTCTGGCCTGTTTACAGACTGTAATGTATCTTAAAAAAAAACTGAGACTTTATTCAACTCTCTTCATTATCTTTAACAGCCTGTGGAGTGAAGCTGGGTTTGGCTTTTTACTCAAAAATCTAAAAAATGCGCTGCTTATGCTCGCTTCTAAGCGCATTAATGCCTCTCTCTTCTGCTCCAGGCATCAATAGTGAGCAACACTATCTAACATCCACTAATTATTAACTTCAACCAAACAAACACAGATGTGGCTCTGCATATTATTTTGCCAGTGATAAAGTTATCAAGCAAGTTAAGGTTAATCCAGCTTCTGGCTGGTGATTGGCCTAACCTGCGGTAGAAGGTAGCGAGTCCTTCATGCTGCTTCTCTTTGACCTTGAAAACACCGTTCAGACCAAAGGCATCCAGCGCTGGAGTCAGACTGTCCACATACACTCCTGCAGAGGTCAGCGAGCACAACTAATGTCAAAGATTAATTTTTTTAAATCATCAGTATTTTTGTGTTTTTATCAGTGATTACCTTTATCGACCTCCTGCAGACAGATAATGTCGCAGTTGTACCCAGCAAGCTCCTTTTTGATCAGGTTCTGTCTGTAGTCCAGCTGCAGGGCGTAGGGGGCGCAGTACGGGTACAGCACCGTCTTGGAAAGGTCCGTTTGGGCGTAGATGTCGGCGAGGATGTTGTACGACACCACTCTCACAGTCGGCCAGTCCGTGACTTTGGCTGTGAAAGCATGACGGTTGTCAAACAAGCACACGCCTGGTCCAGCCTCCACAGCTCCCACAGAAACCAGCTCCTTGGCCAGGCCACTACGGCTTCCATCTTTGGGTGTGCAGCTCAGTTTGAGCCTGAAGCTGATGTCCTGATTGGATGGGATGTAAACTCTCTCACATCCAACCTGAGTCCAACCACTGTCCTGATCTGAAGCTTTACCAGGAGCTTCAGACCTGGAACAAGAGCAAAGAGAAGTAGATTGCAGGATGTTAAATCAATTTGATTATTAATGTGCCCAAACAATCACCTGATTTATAACAAAATCAGAAAAGGCAGCTGTACAGTTCTACACCCAGGGTGTTAAAAACACTTCAGTGTAAAGGTTTGTTTACCCTTTGGCAAACTTATCGATGTTTTTGTGTCAATAAAACAGCTTGGTAGAG